GAATAGGATTAGGATAAGGTAAAATAAAATAAAATCAGTTAGGGTTATTTCTTCCCAGAAGCTGCTTCTTGAATTAATTTCCCCATCTTTTTAGCACATTCCTAGCCCATTCGAACTTCAAAAACGTCCATCCATCTTGGCCCATGCATATGCTATCCATTCCAAGTCCAAAACTGCTCTAAAATGCTGCAAAATGCCCTTTCTTGCCAATCTTGCCATCTGGACCTACAATAGTACGAAAATAAGCTAAATCACTCTAATAAATGAGAATTAACTAAGTAAATGCAAAGAAATAAGATAGCAAAGTCGCATAAATATGCTCCTATCAATATTTTACCTCATCGGTAAGATTTTGACTGCTTCGAATATTGTCCCTCGCTTTTGCCAAGGCATCCCTCCATTTGCCTAACTCTTTATTCAAAATTTTCCCCATGGACTGTAAGGCCATTTTCGTTCCGTCCTAGCCGAACTGGATCTTTCAGTAAATTCTTCATGAATTTTTTTCCTCATATAAGAAAACTTCATCTCATTGCCTGCTATAGGGCAATGACTAACTTTCACCCAAGACTCACACAACACAATATCTTCCATAGTAGTCCAAGCGCCTCCGGCTTCGACAGAAGATGCCATTTGTTTTTTGATACAAATGGAAACTAGTAGAAAAATGTGAGTGGAATGGAAAAAAAAATTGGAAAGAGAAGAGTATGTATGAATATTTGGTGTGAAAAGTGAATACAATTAATAGGTACTTATAGGGAAAAATTACAGTATTTTTTTTAAAAAAAATTGAATTTTTTTTGCCGAAAAAACGAGGGCCGTTGGATTTTTGGAAAAAAAAACCATCACAGCTCCCAAGAAGTGCCACGTGGCATTTTTCCGTTGGTTTCTGTCAGCGTGATGTCACGGCTGACGTCAGCACCTTTGGGCTTGAGCCCAAACAGATTTTGCTCGTGGGCTAGCTCGGGTTGGTGGGACCCATCATTTGCCCCAGTTGCTCCTTGCGCGCTGGAGGCCTTCTGGGCTCACATGGGGGGCCTTTTGCCCGGTTTTAGAGTAGGGGTGGACTTCCTCTTAATATTCCACCCTTTGAATTTTATATAACTTATGCACTAAATATTTGTAATTTGTGCTTGTAACCCATAATTATATTGTAAATGATGGTATTCAATCTCTTATCTTGTAATTCTATAAATAGGTGGTCATACCAAAAATGAAAGTAGAATAAACATGGTAAAACTTTATCTTTAGCATATCACTTCTCTCAACATTTTCTCCCTTAGTTTTATAACATAATATTATATTTTAGAAGTGGAAAATATTAACCCTTTCTTTCACCTATATTTTTACACCGAATTATATCATCATTTGTTTGTACTCAAATATCATACAATAATTTCTCCTAATTTTAGGGTTCAACTTCGTTCCAAGACGGTTCAAAATTGAGTTTGAAAAAGAAAGATAAACTTTTAGGGTAAAATACTCAAATGGTCCTCAAACTTGTACGTAATTTACATTTTGGTCCCTAAATTAAATTTTTAGTCCAAATGGTACATAAACTTTATTTTAATCGCCCATTTGATCATACTGTTACATTTTCTGTTAAATGTAACCAAATTTTAAGGGCAAATACGACTTTTCATAATTAACAAATAAAATAGGGTTAAAATAAATATAAAATACAAAAATGGCGATGAAGATGATGCGCTGCAATACTTTTTTTTCTTCTCTCTTCGTAATCCCATTGAACCCATTTCAATGGCTGGAAGAAACAAAGACATATTGAATAACCAAAAGCTGTTTAATTTGCAGGTACTTGGACTCTATTCTTCATGCTGAACATAAAAGCATCTTGGAAGCAAACGGGGATGAAAAAGTTGAAGCTGACAAGCAAATGCCATTCGATTATGTTCTGGAATTGAAAAAAATCTTGGGTTCTTCGGCTAAAAACGTCAAGAGGTATCACAAATTTTCTAGAAAGTTAATATTTTTCTTCATTTTTACTACTCAATTTGTGAACTACTGGGAAACTCATCAAGCACATGAAAAATTGACAGTGGCTGTGATTTTGGGAGGTGGGGTTGGCGGGTGATGAGGTGGGGAGGAGGGTGGTTGGTGGTTGTCTCTCAACAACAAAGGGAAATCAAGGGGGAGGGGGAGAGGGTCTAGGTGGTTGTTGAGAAGGGGTTCTGGGTAAATTCCCTATAAACCCTAACAAGCTCATCCCATACCATAGAGGCTGAATAATTATTGTTGCAGAGGCCAACCAATTTGTTCAAATACGCTATGATTTGATCGTACATTTGAGCTCTTGACAATATATGTACAATTATACCATAAGACTTGAGGTTGGGCCTAAATTTTTGCTACTTTGAAGCCAATTTGAAAAAACTGAAGCAGACTACCAGGTTTAGCTTCAGTTTTCGAAGGATGGTGTTGAGGAGTTGGTCGGAGACCACCTCCACCAAGATGGCTGGGGCACAGATCCTCTTAGCCAATGCTTGCTACGGGTAGGTTCAGGGTAAAAATAAATGAGCGGAGGTGGGGTGGGGGATTTGAATGCTCTGCATCATGGGTTGCTTCTCACGTGTTCAATGAAATGCACAAATGAATATAGAACTGGAGATGATGTTGAACAAAAATCTGGAGCCTAAGAAATGTTTTATGAATGCGGGCGGATGGCGTTGGAAATAAAAGGCAATTCGATAGAGATGGGATTTTGCTGAATGAATTGAGAGGTCAGCGGATTATAAATGGAGAGATGGGTTTGGGATGGAGGGTGGTTATTGGATAGGTTT